TCTAACTGAAAAAGCTGACAAACTTTCTACTCAACGAATGTCAAACTGCTGGTACAGATCAGCTGCAAAGTAGAAGTGGACCTTTCAATAGGAATTTTAAACAAGTAGGATCAAGATACTCAAGCATTTCTTCAAAGAATTGTAACAAGAGATGAAACATGGTTTTCGGAGTATAATCCTAAAAACAAAGCGCAATCAAAGCAATGGCTACCAAGAGGTTAAAGTGGTCCAAAAAAAAGCAAAAGTGGATCACTGGTCAAAAACAAAGACCAGTGCTCAAGGCATTTTGCTTGATGACTTCCTGTGAGGGCCAAAGAACAATAATATGTACTTATCATGTGAGTGTTTTGAGAAAGTCAAAGTTTTAACAACAACAACAACAAAACCACTTGGGAAAACTTTACCAGAGAAGCCTTCTTCACCACAATGATCCTGTTCCTTTCCTTTCTTTCATCAAATCAGGGCAATTTTATGGGCATTTTGATAGAAAATCATTAGATATCCACCTTATATTCCTGATTTGGCTCCCTGAATATTTTGTTTTCTAATCTTAAAAAATCTGTAAAGGACACCCATTTGTCTTCAGTTAATAATGTAAAACACATTGCACTGATAGTTAAATTTCCAAGATCCTCAGTTCCTTAGAGATGGACTAAATAGCTGCTATCATCACTTGAAAATTACCTTGACCTTGATGGAGCTTATGTTGAGAAATAAAGTTTATATTTCTTACTTTTATCTTTTTAATTCCATTTCTCCACAATTTTTTTGAAGTGCTCTCATACATGAGCAGAACAATAATCCAAATTCACTCATTTATTCCACTTATTCATGTCATTCATTCAACAAATAAGTATTTGCTAGGCATTGTCCTAAGCACTGGAAACACAATGAAAAAAAATTCTTGCCTTCATGGAGCTTGCATTCAAAAATAATAAAAATGTCATCAATTATAATTATCTTTTTTTTTGAGACAGAGCCTCAAGCTGGTGCCCTGAGTAGAGTGCTATAGCATCACAGCTCAGAGCAACCTCCAACTCCTGGGCTCAAGCGAGTCTCCTGCCTCCATCTCCCAAGTAGCTGGGACTACAGGCGCCCGCCACAATGCCCGGCTATTTTTTGGTTGCAGCCATCATTGTTGTTTGGCGGGCCCGGGCTGGATTCGAACCCACCAGCTCAGGTGTATGTGGCTGGCGCCTTAGCCGCTTGAGCCACAGGCGCTGAGCCTATAATTATCTTCTATGTGCTGGGTACGGTAGTAAAAATGTACATGTTATCCCATTAGTCCTCACAACAACACCTATTAGAAATTTTAATTCCTTTACCATACGAGAAAACTAAAGTAAAGAGACATAGTTATTTATTGAGGGTCATTATCTTCATGATGAATTGATACTTTTCAATCATAAAATGCCCTTTTTATCATTAGTGATATTAAAAACTTTGTGTAGAAGTCTATTTTATCTGATATTAACATAGCCACTCCAGCTATCTTAAGCTTACTTTATGTGGTTGATATAAGTAAATATGTTTAGATGTTACTCTCAAGTGACAAAATAATTAAATTCACAATGCTTGAATAATACCTCAAGTATCTTGGGTTCAGCATTCCCAGCTTCCTTTCATATAGGCCTCTTAATTTTTGGAAACAAATTAACATAATGATTCTATAGGATTAAATTACATTTCCCTCTTTAATTCTCATTTCTGAGGTTTTTATTTATCTAAATGTCCTAAATATACCTAGGAACAAAACAGTGAGCATGACAGAGGCTCTAACTAGGCTTAGTGTTGTTCTCAACAATGGCAGACTTCAAGAATTTACTAAATTACAAACTTCCAAGGCAGCTATTAAAGGAAATCTAAAAGTTGGGAGATATGCCAGACTAGATCACTTCAAAGATGCCTTTTTAGTCTACTTATGACTTCAGTATTAATAACACCTTATTATTTGTACTAAGCACATTCTTAGGCAGAAATATGCAGCCTGGTGCTTTTCGGAAATTAGATGAATACAAGAAACTATCATTCATCATTACCTATTAATTTGAAACAGTATATAGTATATAACTTGTAGTAAAGTTAACTGTAGTCAAAGTTTGCCTTTTACTCTACTTTCCAGGCAAATGAAAAATGAATCGTGTAAAAAATATCTAAAGAAACTGCAGCTCAGAACTTCATTACCAAATGTCTTACAATGTGCACATAAATTATATGTACATACTGTTTTTATAGTCTCTTTTAGAAGCTCTTTAAATATAACTACCAGTCTTTTTTAGCTTATTTTTAGTTATAGCATATAGACAAAAATTAGTAAATCTTTTATTTATTTATTTTATTTTTTTCAGAGACATAGTCTCATTTTGTCACCCTGGATGGAATGCTGTGGCATCATAGCTCACAGCAACCTCAAACTCTTGGGCTCAAGTGATCCCCTTGCCTCAAGCCTCCAGAGTAGCTGAGACTACAGATGCTTACCATAGTGCCCTGCTATTTTCAGAGATGCGGTCTTGCTCTTACTCAGCCTCTTGCTCAGGCTGGTCTTGAACTCTTGAGCTCAGGCAATCTACCTGCCTCAGCCTCCCCACGTGCTAGGATTATGTGTGAAACACCATGCCTGGCCCAATCTTTTTTGTTGTTGTTTTTAAAAACACAATGCCAATTCATTTTTTAAAAGAGTTCTGTGTTAGCCTATGGTTTACTTTTTCTTTATGTAATTATACAACCTCTGAAAATTACATAAATTGCAATCATTTAACATATTCAGAAAAATTTTTCCCTCCCTCCCAACAACTATCCAGGGGGGATTAAAAAAGGTGAATTCAACACAACCTCTACCCTAGTAGAAACAAAAAGTGAAAATGTGAGAAGAAAACAGAAATTGACTAAGAAGTCAATTTAGTCTGCTCTGCTGGACAGGGGCCCTGGCTACCTGTGGCCTGGGGCAGAGAAAGGCAACTGGGAGACCCAACAACCACGTCTTTCCCACCCAAGGAGTGTCCATGTCTCCAACTTAGGGTTAATGGAAATCTTTCAGCAGGGTTCCTCACTATGAATCTGGTTCTCCAAGTCTCCTCTGTCATAGCTGTCTGCATGCTCCACTTTCAATGTAAAGTTTCCGATTTCAGCCTCCAGATGAGCCTGCTGGTGTTCAAACAGTTCCTTCCTGGGTCCAGACTCCATGCAGTACACATATGAGTAAGTATATTGCAGAGTATACTAATACTTAGTCAAGAGCTTCTGTAGGTACTGCCAGTCAATCTAGGCCCCCAGATTGTTCATGACCCTATTCTGAATCTTCTCACCAATCTGCTTGTATATCTGTGCCTCTAGCTCCAAGCTTTTTGTTGTGTTTTTCCTACGTCTGAAAGTAGAGTAAGAACTTCTTGAGAGCTTCCCTGCACTGAGCTTGCTAGTTCTGGTGCACAATGTCAGGATTCTCTCTACAAAGACTACACTCATAATAGTACTAGCTGCCCTCAGTCTTCCTATTTCCTGGAAACATCTTGCCAAAGTTGGGCTTACATGTGGAACACTGCATGTAACTGTAGTCTCCATTCTTCTCAGTGTAGATACTGCACTTGCAGGCTTTAGTGTAAACACCAATGTGGCTGGCTGTTTGAGAGTCATCACTCTTCATGAGTCATGCACACTTCATGAACCATTTCCAGATTGTAGCAGAGTCAGTGGGGATGTTATTCACGTACATCTTATGACACTTGAGACAGAGGACTTCACTGCACTGATGACACTGCATTCTGGCAACCTCTAGGACAGCCGAATAACCATAGGACAGCTAGAGGTGATAATGACTCTCCACATAGTCCCCAAAGAGGTATTTTCTGAGCTTGTCTTTCAATTCTTCACCGGGAAGCAATGGAAACATAACATCTTCTGGTGTGCAGAGAGTACACAGTCCTCAGCCACAAAAGAGATTTGTATGCAGTTCTTGACAAGTACTGTGCAGCACTCCTCCTACAGCTACAACAAAACTGGTAGGGACAGACCAGAGTACCTTTTCCTTCCATACTAACTCCATACACACTGCACAGTGGTGACAAGGAGACATATTTTGATCAAGTAGGCTGAACTCGAGTTTTTAATATAGTTGAGATGAACTGAACTTGCATCTGACACTGAGACTTCCCAGTAAACTAATATAAGTTTAGCGACTGAATGAAATACCTTTATGACAGGGGGTAAGCTGGTCATGTGCTCTTTCAGATCAAATAGGTGAACTGGTACTCATTGGAATCAAAGGCTTTGGCCTCCTGTTACTCCACATTACTGGCTACTTCCACATGATAGTCCTCTATGTCTCCAGGGTCCTTGTCCTCCTCCTCCTGGTCCTCTTCCTTGCAATTTGGGTCACAGTTCTCATTGCTCTCAGACTCCTGCCTAATCATGTGCACAGACACCTTAGTATCCAGCTAACTTACAGATCAGGAAAGCAGTTGCTTTTCTCCTCCTCTCCCAAACTTTCTCAACTGCATTAGTACTTTTGCCTTCTATAATTCTTGAAGATTTTTAGGCAGATATCATCCAAATATTCTGTCATGATTTGCACAGGGAGCCATAGCTGGCTCCAGGCAGGCCAGATGAAATGGGTCAGACTATAGTGCAGTAATAGTTGGACCTGTGCTGCTTCCTGCAGAAAAGCCACATCACAGCTCTGCTACATTTTCCTTTAAAAAATATTCCTTAATTCTGAACTTTTAATCAATTCAAACTCACCTTTTCTTTAATTATTCCAAATAATAATATAGTGTTTAAATCAGAATAGGTAATCTAATTCCAATTTACATAAAATAACAGTTTCATAGTTACTCTACGTGGTAGCTAACATTCTGAAATATATGAAAGAAGATGAAATTATACCACCTGGAGATATAACAAAATAATCATTAAGGATATAGAAAGAACTTACCAAATTTATCAAAACTACTTACTTCCTCTAAGCATCTGACTACTTTTAAACTAACTCAAACATATTTTCTTACCTGTGCCTTTATTTCTTCTAAGTCTTTAGTTTTCTGTAATAATTCTTCTTTTAGCTCTTCAAACAGCAGCTGAAATTTTTCCTGCTGAGTTTGCTTTTCATTTAACAGGCGTTTAAGTTCATTTTGTGACTTTATGTACTCATCTTGCAACCTGATTTTTTTAAAAAGAATTCAAATTTAAATGTTTCCTTTGGTTTCCAATTGAATGACTTTATGTAAAGACAACCAACACAACAGAAAAATAAGATCAATATCGTACATTCCTTAAACACACAAATGTCTTTTCTTTAGAGAGTTTCATTTAATTATTAACATAGTAGTATCTGAATGCAATTTTACTTTGAGGAGAAAAACACATTTAGCCCCCTGGATACATTTAATCTTTTATGTTTGCTACTTTCAAAATAAGACTTTTATAAAGTCACAACCTACTTGATAATATACGTAGTTTTAAAGAAAAAAAATCTTAAAACTTTTACTGCATTTTAAAAATTTGTACCCTCATATTAATTTGAAATAAAAATAATTTTACTGCATTAAAAAAAGTTAATGTATACACTAGAAAATAACAAAATTATACTGTATGTTTCAGAGCAAATACTCAACCAAAATAGTTCAATAACTTTTTTAACCAAGCCCCCCACTTCTAAGTTTATTTTTTTATTTTTTATTTTATTTTTTTGAGACAGAGTCTCACTATGTCGCCCCAGTAGAGTGCTATGGCATCACAGTTCACAGCAACCTCAAACTCTTGGGCTTAAGCAAGTCTCTTGCCTCAGCCTCCCAAGTAGCTGGGACTACAGGCGCCCAGATCAATGCCCGTTATTTTTTGTTACAGTTGTCATTATTTAGCTGGTCCGGGCTAGATTGGAACCCACCAGCCTTGGTGTATGTGGCTGGCGCCGTAACCACCATGCTATGGGCACTGAGCCCATTTCTAAGTTTAAGTAATTTACCTTGTGTGTTCAGCTTTCAGAGTCTGATAATTAGTTTTATGATGCTCGCATCGTAACCTCTCATCAATTAACATTTTTTGGAACTCAGATTGAGAATTTGTCAGTCCATTGTCTCCACCAGGAGGAAAAGAGTCCATACTGGTAACTGAGTTGACAACCATGTAAAAGTAAGTTCTGGCTTTTTTATCGTTCTAGGTTTTTTTTCCAAGAGTATTTCCCACTTCTTTCTTGCTTAAGCAGGACTTCAGGAGGCCAAACTATACCTACAGAAAGAAATAAACTACGTTAGTGATCAGTGAGCCTATGTTTTCTTTGGTGCTAACATTTTTAATCACTTATTATTCTCCTCATTTTTATAACAAAGCCCAATTTTTAGATTTTCATTACTTATAAAACATGCAAAAATAAAGTTGAATCATACCTCACAAAATTTTCTTCTCCATAAAAGATTTTTTTTTTCCATAAAAGATTTTGTGACCGTCACATCTACACTACACACACACTACAAGTACAGACTTTTCCAGTTTAGGTGCTTATAGATTCATAAACCACAGTCACATGGCTCCTGGACAAAAATCCATACTCCCAAATCAAGAGAAAAGCCTTTTGGAAATTGGCAAGAGCCTGGGAAAATCATGCTCCTCACAAAGATAACCTTTAGCATGAACTATGTCTGTGATTAATGCTATGAAAGGTCTCTTATTTGACACATGGTAAACTGGGCTTAGCCCACAGATTCAGATGAGAAATTAGTCAACACATAAATATTGATCAACTCCTATGTGTCATATACACTATGTTAAAAAATAGAAAATTAAATCATCTCATCTATCCCCCAAAGTACTGACCGAGCATTAGGAAAATAACTATTTATTGCATCTAGAAATAAAAAATGTTTTAAAAAGTGTTCTTAGAGTAAATAATTTTTTGTTTTGTTTGATACAGAGTCTCACTCTTTTGCATAATAACTCACAACAACCTCAAACTATTGGGCTCAGGTGATCCCCTTGCCTCAGCCTCCACAAAGCCTGGCTAGTTTTTCTATTTTTAGTAGAGACAGACGCTTGCTTTTGCTCTAGGCGCCTAGTCTCGAATTCCTGAGCTCAGGCAATCTACCCACCTGAGCCTCCAAGAGTGCTAGGATTACAGGCATGAGCCACCACACCCAGCTTTAGTATAAATAATTACAAACAAAAATTTTAATTAAAATAGTTCTATCCCCTTTAACTTTACTAATCTTTCTCGCTCTCTCTCTACATATATATATATATATATACACACACACACATATATATTTCTTTTTCCTGATAAAATTCTTCCTTACTCATGTATTATAAATGACTTCTTAATATAAGAAAAGATCTTCGGCCTATGCATACCAACCATTAAATTACTCAATTTAGCCTGAAATATATCACCTCTGATATATTAGTGCCACATCTGCATATTATATAAGAAAATCTTTAAATTGCAATTGGGGTTGCTTTGGTTTCCTATGAAATTATATTTTGATAGAGAAAGAGAAATCCTTCGAGGACACTTTAATCCTTTTACGTTAAACATGTACTAGGATTCAATCCTTGTAAATAGAGTGCACTATCTGTAGCAGCCACCACAAAATAATCTTGTCAAGAACATACATTTGCCAAGGAATTAATGAAGTGGATAGCAAAACACAGACAACAGCACCCTTTCTGATTCACCCACACAGTTTTCAACTTGCTAAGTTTATCAACATTGTTTTGGGCTTCATTTGTTTCTGTCTGTGTGGTTTTTACGTTTCTCAGTTTGTATGTATCTCAAAACTTTCATTATAACCCACATACATTTTTATTTGGGGTGGACACCAGCAACACCAAATGCTGGTCAGCATATGAGGCAAAAGGAACTCTCATTCATTGCTGCTGAGAATGCAAAATGGTACAGCTGTGTTGGAAGACAGTTTGCACACTTACAGCAACTTTATTCTTAATTGCCAAAATTTGGAAGTAACCAAGACATCCTTCTGTGGGTTAATGGATAAGTAAACTGTGGTACATCCAAACAATGGAATATTAGCCAGTGCTAAAAAAGGAATGAGCTATCAAGCCATGAAAAGACATGAACAAACCTTAAATCTACATTAGTAAGTAAAGGAAACCAGTATGAAAAGACTACATATACTCCATGACTCCCAACTATATGACATTCTGGCAAAAAAGCAAAACTATGGAGACAGTAAAGAGATTGCTGATTGCCAGGGGTTAGGGGGAAGAGAGGATAAACTGGTGGACAGTGGAGGATTCTTAGGGCAGTGAAACTATTCTATGTGACACTATAATGATGAGTATATGCTAACACAAATCTGTGAAAACCCACAGCACATAGAACACCAAGAATGGACTCTAATGTAAACTGTAGACTTTGGTTAGTAATGTTGTGTCAATGTAGGTTCATCAACTATAACCAATGCACCACTCTGTTGTGGGAGGTTGATAATGGAGGCAGCTTTACGTGTATAGGGACAAAGCATATTTGGGGACCCTCTACACCTTCAAATCAATTTTATAGTGACTCTAAAACTACTCTTTAAAAACAGTCTATTAAAAGAGAGAGAAGAAAAAAATACAGCAGAAACTATCATAGTCTAAAAGCCTAAAATATTAACTATCTGACTCTATAATGACAGTCTATTAAACCCTTCTCTAGAATAACCATTAAAGGATCCAAAAAGAGTGGAAAACATTAAAATAACTCAAGCACTCTAAAACAGGATTTCTCAACTTCAGCACTTCTGACATTTTAGGGTATAAATAGCAACTCCTTATTATTAAGAAGCTATCTCATACATTATACAAGGTTTAGGAACATTCCTAGTCTCCACCCATTAAATGCCAGGAGCACCACTCCCCTAGGTGTGAAAGCCAAACAATCCACATACAAGGCCTAACAATGAAGTTTGCAGACTCATCCTAGAAAAAATACTCCATTCCTCATTGCTGAATATCACTACAGTCACCTTTGAAATACCCCAGTTAGGAAGCTACATGTTACAATCCCAGTGCCAAGTCTACCCTTCAAAGCAATTTTGGAATTCTTTTTCTGGAATGCCCATCAGAGCTGTCTTCTAAGAGGGTCTGACAATTAAGTTTGTGAACTCAGCCTAGAAAAAGTGCTTTAAAGGGTGGACTAGGCACTGACATAGTGCATAGCTTTCCAAGGGGAATACTTTAAAGCTGACCACAGTGATATTTAGCAATGAGGTATGTAGCACGTTTTCTAGGATGAGTTGCAGGACTTAACTGTCTGCCTTTATATAGCCTATCACCTTCCCCCCCGCCCCCTCCCCGTTGAGAACCACTAGGCTAAAAGAAGACAAGAAAAGGAACCTAAAGCAAGGACGAAAATAGAAACAGTAATACAGAAGATTTAAACAAATATCTCAGTAATTGTATTAATGCACACAAAATAAAAGCTTCAATGAAAGTCAAAATTAAAAGAAAAACAGAACCAAACTACATGCTCTTTTACAAGACAGACTTAAAATATAATGGCAAAGAAACGCAAAAAGAAAAAGGAGAAAAGATATTATAAACATTAATCAAAACATAGATGGTGGAACTATATTAACACCATAAAGTACATTTTAAGGCAAAAAACCCACTAATAAAAATGAAGAGAGGCATTCACAACAATAATGATTAATACACCAGAAAGATATGACAATTTTAAATTTATATGTACTTACTATGGCCACTAAATACATAACGCAGAAGTACTTAAAACTCTAAGGAAAAATAGACAAATTCACAATAATGGGGGGGGAGAATTTAACCACTATTCTTGGTAACTAACAGAACAAGCAAATAAAAAATAACCCATACCCTACCTAACCTAACTGACATAAAGACAACTGCACCCCAAACTATAAAATCACATTCTGTACAAGCACACACGTAACATTTACAAATACTGACCACATTCTAGGTATGAAAAAAGTCTCAAAAATTTTTCAAGACCAAAATGAAACAAAGTATGTTCTCTAATCACAAAGTAACTAAATTAAACTCAATATGAAAAGATAACTGGAAAAGCCACATATATAAAAAAAGAAATACATTTCTAAATAACTCATTAATCAAAGAAAAGGGCAAAACAAATTAGAAAATACCTACAACAAAATAAAAACTTATATTACATATTAAAATTTACGGAATAAAAATACTTCTGCATCCAAGAAGATGGATTAGATATACATTTCCCTATTACCCCCACTAACAGACTCTAAATAATGGAGACCAGCAGGCAGACCAGCTACAGAACTCAGGATACAAGGATGAGCACCATGGCGAGTTTAATTCCTTGGGTTTTCTTTTTCACATATCTCAGGCTTGGAGCTTAAGAAACTAGCAGCCAGAAAACACCAATGGAGTAAGGAAAAAAAAAAAAACTTGAATGGAAGTCTGCAGTCTAGACAAAGGAACAAAAATGGGAGACCCTAACAAAAAAGAAAATGGATAGACAACTGCAAAGACCAAGTAGAAACCAAACTAGGCTTCCACTTTCACCAGGCTGTAACGAAGCCCCCCAATAACCTGCCAGGATGGTGTAAAAGAAGGCTGAGTAGAAAGTGGGGCCCTCCACCTCCTGCAAATGTTAGTGGAGACCACATGGAAAATCTGAATTTTACCCCCCTAAAGACTAAGGAAAAACACCTCCTTCATCCCACTGAAGTGCTATCACAAAAAGTTTAGTGGAGTTAGGACAGGCACCAACATCCTAGGGGTGATGAGGCTACCCTCTCCAGGGTGACAGCAGAGATCACAGGGAGAGCCAAAATCCCAAGCTACCTAGCAATAATGAGGACCTCACCCCAACACAGGTGTCAACCGAGGCTAATTATGGAACCTAGACCTCTATCCCCAACCTGGCAAAAATGAGGTAGCATTTCCCCCTTTCCCCTGTGAGCATCAGAAAAAGCTAGCTAAAATAGAAGGCTTAAATGGGATCTATAGTACCCTAACATAATATCTCAAATGTCCAGGTTTCAATAGAAAATCACTAGTCACACCAAGAATGAAGATGATTTTAAACTCAATGAAAAAAGACAATCAATAGATAACACTGAGATGACAGAGATATTATGATTACCTGACAAGTATTTTTTAAAGCAATGATAAAAACACTTTAATAAGAAATGACAAACAAGTTTGAAATAAATGCAAAAAAGAGAAAGTCACACCAAAAATACAAACACTAGTAAAGAACAGAAGATAAAAAGAAC